TATGGATGTAAGTAAGCATAATCACGATCTAATTTATTTACAAATTTTTGTGTTGAAATCAAACGTTCGAAGTCGTGTTTAAAAGGTTCTTTATGATTTATGCGAGCGTTGAAAAGCCAAAATGTGTATGAGTATGTGTGTGTGTGTGCCAAAAGCTTCTCACAGTCTGGGATCAATTGATGGACATTGTGGCAGCACAGCCATCCTCGTGGTTGCTGTGATGTGCAATTGGCATCCCAACTACACAAAGTCTGGATAGTTTGGTTTGTTTTCTTCTTCTTCTTCTCATTCAATTGATGGGCATTGTGCGCGAATGGCAGGCTAATCCTAATGTATCCAGGTTCTATTCAGCAATTGCTGTGAAACGTTAATTTAGATTTATGGCTTAAATCGCAACTAGCTTGATGTGTTGTGCAACAGGCAGGCAGCCAGGCAGCCTAGCAGCCAGGTAGGTAGGTAGGTTGGCCGTGCGAATGCTTCAACAGACGCAAATGGGCAGCTATTGCATGTGGCACATTTGTCATGCGGCAGATCGTGTGCTCCAGCTGCTGCCGCTGGATGCTGCCTGATGGGTTTGCGACTACAAGAGAAGTCGCTGCGGCCAGGAAACACGAAATAAATGTTATTTACTGACTGGCAATAGACACACACGTTGATACCCTTACCATAAAAAAATCATGAAAACTTCAAGGTTGATATAAGCATTGTTAAAGGCTTAAGCTATTTTGCAATCTCTTCACTCTTATAGGCATGCATTAAAAAATTTATATACATACTTACATTTACATTTAGGTGAGCAGAGCGATGTACCCATCTCACTTACGCGCCCTAGGCTTATGGCTCTCAGGATTCAATCTCAATAAAAGCTAGAGAGACTAGCAAATACGAATACGAATTAGAGGTGAGTTTTTTGATAAAGTTATCTCTAGTTGTTCCATCTCTATGTGCACTGCCTGCTATACTCGCATCTCTATGTGTTAGAGCAGCCAGCAAATGTGTTGATTAATTTGTTGATGTTGTTGATTGCAAGGCGGCGGCAAATGTTGCATTTGCTGCAACTGCATGTCATGTCACAGCCAAATAAACATATCAACATGATAAATATGCGACCCATAAGCGACATCACTTATCGGACAGTGTCCGGGCTACACGCAAAGCGAAGGACAAGCGCATAAATCAGTTGCGTTCCTCTTTTTTAATCGCTGATTTCCGCTTCGCTGGAAATGAAAACAGAGCCAGAAACTGGTTTGCCATTTTCGAATGGGCACGAGCGGCCGAGCAGAAGTAGAAGCAAGCAGAACTATATGGGACGGACGGCCCTCGCACACTGCTCAAAACTGTGGCACAGTTGTCGTTGTTATTGTTATTGTTGTTTACATTTTAAATGTTTACTAAATATTATATTTTTTATTAAAATACACACATTTCAATTAGCTTGGTTTTTGTTGTTGTTTTTTTCTGGTTGTATTTATCGCAAACTCTACACACTTGTTGCTCTGTTTGTTGTTGCTGTTGCTGTTGCTCTTGTTAAACAGTAAAACTTAATTTTACAAAACCTTAGCCTCGGAGAGATCATCCAAAGGCTTAGTGGGTGGCGGAATCTTGTATTCCGTCTCTGGGGTCTCGTAGATCTTCTCCTCCTTGGGCTCAACGACAGACACATTGTCGGGCAGTGGCTTCTTGGGTCCAATCTTGTTCTTGGGATCGTAGGGCAACATGATCTTAACCTTGATGCCAAGCACGCCCTGGCGCAGCAGAACGTGACGTGTGGCAGTCTCGACATAGTCGTTGCATGGATCACCGGAGTGGATCATGAGTCCATCGACGAACTTCATCGACTTGGCACGCTGACCACGCAGCTTGCCAGAGACAACAACTTCACAGCCCTTGGCGCCGGACTCCATGATGAAGCGCAGCACACCATAGCAGGCGCGACGCACAGCCAGACCTCCGGTCAGCTTGTAGCGCAGAGACTCAGCCTGAGCGATGGCGCAGAGACCGCGAGTGGCTACCTTCTCAGCGTACAGTTCGATGCGGCCGGTTTCGAAATTGAAACGCTTCTGAACCATGGCGGTGAGCTCACGAATGCGACGGCCCTTCTCGCCCAGCACTTGTTGGGTCTTGGTGGCCATGATGATGATCTCAGTGCGGGATGGGGTCACACGCACCTCAACACCGGAGTAACCATCCTCGGCGAGCTCACGAGTCAAGAACTCGTTCAACTCAGCCTTGAAGATACCGTCGGAGACGAACTAAAATAAATTCAAAATTGCAAATTGTTAGCCGAGCACACACAACTTCAAAGAAACAAATATTATCATTGCTGGCCACTGTTGTTGTTTCACGCTAGTGTCATGCTGAACGGGGGCTCCACGCCTGCCACTGACGCCCGCGATTTGAGGTTAACTTTGGTTTGGTTTTGTTTTTTACGGCTCCCGCGTAGATTCCTCACATAACTTTATGCACCCAACATGTGCGCAGAGCCAGTGCACTTTTCTTTTTGTATTGCAATGCAATTTTCGTTTAATTACCTTACGTTTCTTTGAAATGTTTAGGTTCATGTTCATTTCATACGACTCGCACGGAACGTGGTCAAAAAGAAAGAAAGAAGGCGCCCTGCTTTACCGATAACATGGCCGTCGTACGAACTGCTTTGCCAGCTGTAGGGTTGCAAATTGAGTGCAGCGATTCTCATGTCAACTTATCGATGTATTAGTCTACTTAATTGTTTTTATTTTTATGTTTAGCACCATTCTATCTTCCCTTAGCAATAAAAATTAATGCTCTTTAATTTAGATTTTTTCACAAAAGCGTAATTAGCTCATTATTTTGAACAGCTGAGCTCCGTCAGTCGATAGTCATAAATCAGCACTGATGTTTCTGCCAGCTGTTCAAATGGGCATACACAAAACTATCGACAACTCCCCAGCTAATGCACCTACAATCGATGCATATATATATTGACTTATCAATAATTGCATCGATAATTTTACAGCTGTAGAACAAAGCAGCAACCAATTGCGTCTCATAATTGAAAACGAAAATAAATAACAAGTTCTGCAGAACCCCATCAGCAATATGTCGGAAATAAAGGCGTTAGAGCACGCCACACTCAAAGTGCCGTACGAAATATTAAACAAACGCTTTCGATCTGCTCAAAAGATTATCGACCGTGAAGTTGACCAAGTAATGAATGTTTCGCGACAAGTGGAAAAGGCCTTGGACGCTGAGCAACCGCCCATATTGTCAGATGTGGCCAAGTTAATGGGCAATGTTGCCCAAAAACTCCAAGTGCTTAAACGTAAAGCTGACGAGAGCATCAATGACGAATTGAGCGTCACGCAGATATGCAAACGCAAGCTCCATCATCTCAAGGGCATCATGCCTCGCTGCAGTGGAGACATGTTTCCAGGAACTGTCGATCAGTGGAAACGCATACGTATCGATCGCCTGGTTATCGAACACCTGTTGCGCATGGGCTACTACCAGACAGCCGAGGAGCTGGCGACACGCACTGAAGTGCGTCATTTAACAAACGTGGATATATTCCAAACATCGCGTGAAGTGGAGGAGGATCTAGCAAATCATAGCACGACTAAATGTGTGCTCTGGTGCATTGACAACAAGTCAAAGCTACGGAAAATCAACTCCACTATTGAATTTAGCTTGCGTGTGCAGGAGTTCGTTGAGCTTGTGCGTCAGAATCAGCGCTTGGAAGCAGTCAAGCATTCGCGTCGCTATTTTCCAGCCTACGAGAAGACCCAGTTGACTGAGATTTGTCATGTCATGGCGCTGTTGGCCTATCCGAGCGACTCGGAAATGGAGCACTGCAAGAAGTACATGGATCCCAAGCGCTGGGAACAGCTCGTGCTGGACTTCCGTCACGAGAACTACCGCCTGTTCCAGCTGTCCAATACATCAGTCTTCTCGGCAGCCATACAGGCCGGTCTCTCGGCGTTGAAGACGCCCCAATGCTACTCTCAGACCTGCCGCAATCTCAATTGTCCCGTCTGCCAGGACGATTTCCACCAGATTGCGCTCAAGTTGCCATACTCTCACTGCGTGCAGAGTCGTCTCATTTGTCGCGTCACCGGCTTGCCCCTGAACGAGCACAACCAGCCGATGATGCTGCCCAACGGACAGATCTACGGCCGGCTCGCTTTGCCGAAGATAACCAAAGACGATGGCACCGTCACCTGCCCGGTGACGAAAGTTAAGTTTACAAAACCTAAGATCGACAAGGTATTTATCATGTAAGGCGAACGAGGCAGTCTAAAGAGTGTCAGACTTTGTTAAACTTTAACCCCCTATATATATATACATATACTATCATTATCATTAAGCCAGAATCGACTATATATATATTTTGTATAACTATATTTCTATTATGTATGTATCTGAAGTGGCGCCCAAAGTGTTTCCAACAACTGCGCATTTGAATTTCGATTACGATTAGTTAGTTCTTTCTTCATCTTCAACCAGATTTGATTCTCGTCGCTGCGCCGTCGCAGCTCTATTGATTTTTCCGGCAGCGCAGTCAACAGCAGCAGCGGCAGAAGCAGAGATAGAGGCAGAGGCCGTATGTCGATGTTGATTCATGCTGTGCGGAGCGAACGAGCAGCGTTATTTAATTTCTTCCTAAGTGAAAACTATTCAAATATATCAATATAAATAAAGAAAAATTCATATAAATAAGCAAAAGTTGAAGCGTTTCCAATTCTTTCGGGTCTCCCATTTCATTTGCACCTAAATACGAGAGTGAATTGTTATTGTTGTTGTTGTTGTTTTTGTTTTCATGATTGTGATTGTACCAGCTCAGCTGCGAAAATGCATAGGAAACTGTGAAAATTGACAAATGCAAATAATTAATTCAACAGCAGCAGAAGCACCAGCATCTATGTAGGTAAACAGCTGCGTTTGCTCCACAAACAACAACAACAACAAACAGATACATAAACAGTAAACTAGATACGACGTTCAACCCCCACGGCCAAACCCACCACCGCCATTTCCACCTCAACTCATACCACCACTACCACTACTTTTAATAAAAAGGCAACAACAACAGCAACAGCGGCTCATCTGTAACTGTAACTGTAAGCCCGCTCGCAAGCATTTCGCAATATGGCTTTGGACTTTGTGGCCACCTACAAGGTGTTGGTGCTCGGTGACTCCAACGTGGGCAAGACGTGCATCGTGCACAGGTATTGCGATGAGAAGTACTACGACACATACATCTCCACAATCGGTGAGTGTTGCCATAGATGTATACACACGCACACACACACACACACACACACAGTTGCACACACACACACACTCTTTTGTCTGGCTTCAATGACAACAACAGCAACAACAATGCAAAACATCCTTTATCTCCTCTGGCCTCAGGCATTGACTTCAAACAGAAACTCATCAATCTGGACGGTGTGCCCATAAAGCTCCAAATCTGGGACACAGCCGGACAGGAGCGCTTTCGCACATTAACCACGGCCTACTATCGCGGCGCCATGGGCATTCTGCTGATGTACGATGTCACCAACCTGGAGAGCTACAACAATTTGTCCTACTGGTTGCGCAACATACAGGAGAACGCCTCGCCAGACGTGGTCAAGGTGCTCGCTGGCAACAAATGCGAATGCTCAACGACACAGCGCATGGTGGACAAGGACAGAGGCGAAAAGGTAAGCGAGAGGGTGGACAAGTGTGTGATGGCATGAGAGAGGGAATATATTGGATGTATTATTAGATAAATAATAGACATAGAAGAATAGTCAAGAGCCAATGCCACTTGCCAATCAGATATGCCTAATTAAGGAAAAGTTTGTATATATAAATCCGATTCAATTGTGGGGGCTTATGGGACTTAGAGTGAAGTGAGGGTAAGATGTACATATATAGGTATTTCAAAGAAAACACAAATCACAAATCAATCAGAACTATGGCTAAATCGGAAGAATGAGTACGAATAGCAACGAACTTTTTAGTCCGATTATCATGGTTTATGATATGGTATACATATATTATAGGAATGTGCAGCATAAGCAGTCAGGTATAAATTTCAATAAACAAGATACATATGCGTGTAGGATGTGTTAAGAAAGCAATAGAATGTCTTAGAAAGAGTGGATATATATTACCATGTACGTATATTGATAGTATCATATACATATCTACTGTGTGGATATCATGCCTTCTTAGGAAAACAGTGAAGGGATAAAAAACCTGACATATTAGAGCTTTTATACGTACATATGATGGATATAGATATGTGTATATGTTCATAAGAACTTAAGAGTTGTGAATTATAGATATGCATATATAAGATAATTAAATACCACTTGATTGGAAGTAACACTAAACTATCTCATATATAATTTATCTATAATTCATTAATAATGATCTTGTATTCATCTCTTTCTATCCCTTACCCATCTGCTTATTTATAGTCAGCTCTCCTTAATATTCCCCACTAACTAATTCGATTCTTGCCTTTGCAGATTGCCGAAAACTTTGATATGCCATTTTTCGAGGTCTCTTGCAAATCGAACATCAACATTGAGGATGCATTTCTATCGCTGGCTCGCAAGATACGCGAACAGCGCGAGAGACGGGTAAGTGGCCGAATATCCCAAACTTGAAACCGAACTAATTAATGCATGCTGTAATCCTTGCAGGGCGACAATTTCGACAATGATGACAAACAGGACAAGAAGTCGCCCGGCTCGAATGGGCTGGGCACCTTCAGTCTGGGCAGCTTGTCGGGCGAGAATCGCTGCACCTGCTAAACTCCCTTTCGGAACGCTGGGACACCCAGAGCCGCTGCAGCCTGTTGTCCAGCAGTTGTCCACAACACATAGCCACTGTACAGCGCCAGCAGCAGCAACCATTCGTGTAGCCAAGTTTGTGCAAGTTATTAACAATAACGCTAAAAGTTATAAACAATTCAAGTAAAATTCATTTGAAATGCATGAGGAGAGTCGAATCGAGTCGAGTCGCAGCCTATGTAAAACGTACAGATTGTGCATTTTTTAAGATAGTCCAAGAATAGCATAATAATTATATTAATAATAATGATTTTTAGCATATTCGTGCAAGTACATCAACACATTTTTACATTAACTAACTCGTGTACTCGTTAAGCTAAATAAGTCTAAATATATACATAAATATATGTATTGTATAAATCTATGCGAATACAAAATCTGAATGTAAGCCTGTAACGATTCGTTACAACTTTTAAAGTGAAACACAAAACTTAGTGAGGTCTCTATGTGGGCCGGTTTTGCTTGGATCTGATCAATTATACATGCATAATACAAAAAAAAAAAAAAAAAACAATCTCGATTGCTCAATTTTTGATTGCCATTGGTCAATTAGGGGCTTAAGTGGTTCCATTTCCGGTATCTATTCTATCTAGCCGCGGCGCCTAGCAACCGAAAAGTGTCCACAACGATGATGGTGACGTATCCTTTGAGGAGCCCTCAATAGATACGATTAGTCAGTTCGATTTTTGTGCTTGCCATGAAAGGGTTCCGCAACAAGGCCAGCTCGCTGCCCATATTCAATGGCAGGATCACGGATGCCACCACATTGACGACCACATCGCTGCAGCCGGTGGCCAGTCGCAAGCTCTCCTCGCGCAACACCGCCTCGGTTTTTACCATAACCGACGGCAACATTGGCCGCGTGCCCAGCACTTCGCTGGCCGAGGCAATGGCCATCAATCAGGTGGCGCCAACAGCGCCACCAGCCCCACCAGTGCCACTGGCATTGGTCAAGGAGGAGGAGCAGCAGCTGAACATTGCCGGCACCGAGCTGGCCAACTATGAGAAGGTGCGCGTGGTGGGTCAGGGCTCGTTCGGCATAGCCATACTGTACAGGCGCAAGGTCGATGGCCACCACATTGTCTTCAAGCAAATCAATCTGAGCGAGCTGACGCCGCCGGGCCGCGATCTGGCCATGAACGAGGTGGAGGTCTTCTCCAAGCTGCACCACCCGAACATTGTCAGCTATCTGGGCAGCTTCATCAAGGACAATACGCTGCTCATCGAGATGGAGTACGCGGACGGCGGCACCCTGGCCCAGATCATAGCCGAGCGACAGGGCAAACAGCATTTTCCCGAACGCTACATCATCGCGGTCTTTGAGCAGATCTCCAGCGCCATCAACTACATGCACTCGGAGAACATACTGCATCGGTATGGAGTTCAGTTATACAGAGGTATACGTGTATATATAGGGGCATCTATTATTCATTCACAGCGATCTGAAGACGGCCAATGTGTTCCTCAATAGGCGAGGAATTGTGAAGATTGGCGACTTTGGCATATCGAAGATCATGAACGCCAAGATCCATGCCCAGACTGTGCTGGGCACGCCCTACTACTTCAGCCCGGAGATGGTGAGCGGGCTTAGATCTAGTTAGACGTAGTTAGTTTCAAGTCCACATATCTCTCTGCAGTGCGAGGGCAAGGAGTACGACAACAAGAGCGACATCTGGGCCTTGGGCTGCATTCTGGGCGAGCTGTGCTGCCTGAAGAAGACCTTTGCTGCCTCCAATCTCTCCGAGCTGGTGACCAAAATCATGGCCGGCTCCTATACCCCAGTGCCGCTGGGCTATACGTCGGGCCTGCGCAGTCTGATGGCCAATCTGCTGCAGGTGGATGCAGCACGTCGGCCCACCGCGTCCGAGGTGCTCGTCTACTGGATACCGCTCATCTTTCGCAGTCTGGGCAAGAACAAAGGGTGAGTTGCCAGGCTGTTGCTAGAGATCTGCTGTATCCCAATGCAAATCCTGCTATAGCTACACCTATGAGGACAATCTGAGCAGCAACGGCAGCTTGTTGGCGGCTCCAACTTCTCTGTTTGCCAGCTGCAGCAATTTGGCCATGGAACTGCCGACGGCGCAGACCCAAACGCGCAAGCTGATGAGCGCCGAGACAGTGGCACCGCATGAGGTGATCGAGAGACGGTGAGTTAAGGCATCAGTGGGAATCATAAATAAATATATATATATATATATATATATATATATATATATATATATATAAGTATTTCCAGCTCTGTGCTGTACCAGCTGAAGGCGTTTGGCAACAGCTTCAGCATGAGTCCCATCCAGCTGCCGCCGAAGGCGTTGATTGTCTGCCTGGCCATGAGCGAAGCCCACTTTGTGGTCATCAATGATGATGGCTCGGCGTATGCCTGGGGCGAGGGCACACACGGCCAGCTGGGCCTGAGCTCGCTGGAGACTTGGAAACATTATCCCGGGCTGGTGCAGAGCGTGCGCAATTATCATTTGGTCAGCGCGTGTGCCGGCGATGGCTTCACCATATTCCTCACACAATCCGGCAATATGCTTAGCTGTGGCAGCAATGCCAAATTCGCTCTAGGTCAGGAGGAACAGAAGGATTACTTTACGCCCAAGCTGATAGCCAAGCTGGCGGATGTGCGCATCGAGCAGATTGCAGCTGGCTTGCATCACGTCCTGGCGCTGAGTCGCGAGGGCGCCGTTTACGTATGGGGCACCAGCGTGTCGGGCGCCCTGGCTCTGGGCAATTACCAACAGCAGCAGTGAGTGGGAATTGCCAATCCCCAATCAATCTACCTTTAACTTGTCCTAATCCTGCACAGAAAACATCCACAGAAGGTATTGTTGTCGCATGTGAAGAGCAAGGTCTCGAAGATCTACTGCGGCCCGGACACATCCGCTGTGCTCTTCAGCAACGGAGAGCTGCACGTCTGTGGCAGCAACGAATACAACAAGCTGGGCTTCAATCGGCCAGGCCGGATCACAGCATTCGTAGGCCATGACTTGCCATCTCCTCCGCCTTCCATCCATGTGCTAATTCTATCTACTTCTAGAAAAAGCTACAGCTGCCCTACAAGGTGCTCAACGCTTGCTTCTCGTCCACCCACTCGGTGTTCCTGGTCGAGGGCGGCTATGTCTATACCATGGGACGCAACAAGGAGGGGCAGCGAGGCATCCGGCACTGCAATGCCGTGGAGCAGCCCACATTGGTCGACAGCATACGCGCACGTTACATTGTGGTTGGCCATGACTGGAGCGCGTGGTCCGTGTGCCTAATCCTAATAGCTTCCCTTGCTTGCAGAAGGCCAATTGCAATGATCAGTGCACGATTGTTGCCTCCGAGGACAACATCATAACGGTGTGGGGCACGCGGAACGGCCTGCCAGAGATTGGCTCCAGCAGCAGCGCGCTGGGCCTGGAGGTCTGCACGCCGAACGCCGACCTGGAGTTGGGCAACAACACAGCCGCCTTTACCAATTTCCTGGCTTCGGTCTACAAGTCGGAGCTAATCATGGAGCCTGTGGATATATTGGCGTAAGATGAGAAAGTTTGAGTTGCCTATTATCTATAAATCTTTGCCTCTGCAGCCTATACTCATCGAAGGAGCAGTGCGAGCGTGGCTACTACGTCCAGGTGAACGATGTGTTTCCACTGGCTCACAGCGTGCTGGTAATGGTCGAGACAACAACACCTCTGGTATCCTCCTTTGAGGGTTAAGCAATTGACCCACACAATATACAATTATCTCTCAATTCTTATAATCTTATAATTCATAAACATTTGAAATCAAATTTCGTGTGATTTACTGATAATAGCCACGTTTGGCTGCCTCCTCCACAATGGTTTGCACCGCTGCGAATGCCTCGCGCGCCGTCGGCTCGATCTCTTTGGCCGACAGGATGAACATCTCCTGGCTGTCTGGCGGGCCGCGCAGCTCGAACGTGAAGGTGATTGGCACCTTCAGTTGGCTGTGAGCCCAATCCTTGGAGCCACCACTAGAGGGATAGATAGTCTCATAGATACTTCCACTCTTGTAAACGCGTCCCGTCAGCTCCTTGATGCGCGCCGCAGCCAGTTGGCCAATCTCCTTCAGATCCGCATAGTTCTCCACACGCTCCGCTGTGTGGCCGTATGGGAACATGATCAGCTGCGAGTAGCTGTGCAGCGATAGATAGGTGCGAATACGCTCGGACTCGACATGGGTTTCCAGAAACTGCATGATGCGCTGCGTTTCCACCTCGCTGGCGGCAGCTGGGCCAGAGAAGTCATATTTACAGGGATTGCCGCTGGCGCCTGTGGTGTTCCAGCTCAGTGGGAAATTGCGGTTCAGATCGACGCCACGGCAAATGCCAAAGATCTGGCGATTCTTGCGCCACATACGATCCCCAGTGAAGCTATAGCGATAGCCATCGGGGTTTACCGAAGGAAAGATAAACCAGTTCTGGGAGCGGGCCAGAGCTCGAACGGCCGAGTCCTTGGAGTGAAGCAGCTGATCAATAAAGTAAGTGGCAGTGGCTGGGGCGATCCATTCGCGTGCATGAATGCCGCTTTCGATGAACACACTGGTCAGATTCTCTCCCCCAAAGGCCAGTTTCACCCCCTTGATGGGCAAGCCCTGAGTACTCAAGCCCATGTCCAGCACTTTGACTACGTCCGGGTGATCCCGTTCCAGCTTCTCCAGCCAGCCATAGATGTTGTCCAGCTGAAAGTAACGCTTCCAATCGAACTCTTCCGCCGGCGTATTCTCTGGCGCCACCTCTAGATAGTTGGCATCGATGAGCTCCTGGAAGTTGTAGTTCAATATGCGATGGCTAATGTTGTAGGTGTGCAGCAGATCATCGAAGTCGGCCACCTTGTGGCCCGTCACCATAATGGTCAGTTTCTGGCCGGGCATGCGCGCATGGCCCATGAAGCCGCAGGAGTCGCTAGCCTCCTCCAGCGCCTGCATGATGCCCACTTGAGTGGCGGTCGCCAGCTCCACACTATAGATACGTGTGTGATCGTAACGGGCCTGGGCAGCCGGTGCCTGAGAGATGGCGTCCAAGGCGCATTGATCAGCCTTCGTGCAGAAGCTGGCAGCCCCAACGAAAGGGCGAAAGACCAAGCCGAAGAGCAGCAGCGGGAGCGGGAGCGATAGCATGTTCAGTCTGCAAAAGCGAAAACTATATTAATCTGAGATTGCCAGCAACGCCTATCAAATATCACCTTCGAGAGCAGCTTTGATTATGTATATATGTATGTATGTATGTTTGTGTGTATGTATATATGCATGTACATATGTATGCACGCATAAGCAAAGCGAAAGAACAAAGAATATAGAGCAGAAATCGTACAAGGCAATACTCTTTCTTAAGCTTTGATTGCGATCACATTACTGACGAATTGTAAATAATTATATGAAGGTTGATAATAAACAAAGCATACTTGTAATGTTAGATGCCATAGAGTACTGATGTAAACACAATTTCCATGTTAATATAGATCACAAGTGTAAATAATAATATATTTGTTTAAATTGATACCTTCTATAGAATTGTAATATGAGGTCGCGCCAATTTTATAAACAGAAGTAATTATCGAGCAAGTTGCTATCGATTCATTTAAATTTGTATTTGCACAGGCTCCCTGTCTGACAACCCTTTTTGAACAGATGCGCTATACCACTTCAAATACGCCTTATTTAATTACGAGTCTAAATATTTTAAATGCTCCTAGATAGAAAGACAAGCTTACCACAATAAAATAATTTAAAAAAATATTCGTTTCTATATTTTGAAACGTTATCCACTGAATGTGATATTATCGATAAGGCTGTTTGGTTTTCAAATATATCGGCTAGTGCCGCTACAAAATAATAACTAACGCTGGTCACCCTATCAGCTGTTTTTATTTTTAATAACAAACACCAATGGAATCTCAATTTGATAACACAGAGTGAGTACGCCTAAATTATCGCAAAAAAGTCGCTAAATTTCAGACTTTGAACAGCGAAAACTATTGGAATCGCTCTTCGAGAGCTGCCTTTAGCTTTGATGATGAAGAGGACGTTGATCTTGGCGATGTGGGCGCCAGAACAAAAACGGGACAGGCCAGTCAGAGTAGTAAATGGGACAATAATGAAATTTTCAATGACGACACCATCTCTGAGGCCAGCTTTGATAATAGCGCCGCACTAGGCACGCTAAATCATCTGTCAATCAAGGCGATATTGAGCGATGAAGCGCTGAAGCTGGTGCTACAGGAACAGGCAGTGGACGATCAAGTTATGCCCAAGGGTGTGACTCCTGAGGAGGAGCTAAAATTGCTGCGCCGTCAAATACAGAGCACTCTGTACAGCCCCAATCTGGAGTTGACCGCACAGAGGTTGCTGCATGGCAAAGTGGCGCCGCTGGAAATGTTCAAATCACTGGTAGAGAAGCGTAAGCTGTTGGATGCGGTTTTGGCCAATGGCGGTGATGCAATCATTGGAGTACTCTTGTTCCTCAAACGAACCCTGAACGTCACCCAGTTCAATGGCATTCTACAGCAGCGGCCCAAGGCGCTGGAGCACTATCTCAGCTATCTTCGTCAATGTGGCGACGTGAGCAACTATATTGACACGCTGCAGCGCTTTGGGCGTCATCAGGAAGCTGCTCTTAGGCAATTTCAGGCGGCCCTGTCGTGCACTGATATGGCTACGCGTAAACAACAGCTGCAGCGACTCATCGATGCCTATGCGAGCGCAGGAGTAGGCATAATACCGTTATATGAGCAGGTCTTTCATTCGGCGTTAAAGCTCCAGCTGGTCCTGGAGAAGGAGCCCTTAGGTGATCTGAGCCAACGGATCGGTGACAACCCCACCCCCATAGAGGTACTCTATGCATGCTGTGCCCAAAACAAGAATTGGAAAGAACAGGATATGCTTAAGATCAGCTCACCCCAGCGCTTTGCCGCCGATCAGGAAATCTCGCCGGCCCAATACGAATGGACGGCCTTAAATGAACGCGCCCAGTCACAGGCCTACGCGGATCTGGAGTGCATCTTTGAGCGTGTGTCCGGCTGGCATCCGCTCAAATCGAAGCAGTTCCACATTAGCTTCGATCTGACCCTAGCCGTGCAGCGTCTCTTTGAGCTGCAGGCGCCCGCCACAGTGCTGCAGCTCTTCCTGTCAAAGATGAGCAACAGTCCCGAGAAGCTGGTGCTGGCACAACGGGTCAAGTGCATCAAGGCCGTCATCGATGCCATGGTCAGTATGAAGCAGCAACAGGAACTGCAGCAACTGAAGCAAACGCTCCCCGATCGCTCCGAGGAGCAGTTCTACTGCGAGAATGCGCTGAAAGCCCTGCAGAGCAAACGCTGGACCACGGACAACATAAAACTGAAGCTTTAGCGAGCCATCATCAACTGACTTTTGTATAAATGTTGCTTTTATTACTTTTATCATATTTGTAATTTATTAAAAATGTTACTTTATGTATGTATTAAATAATTTGCAAATCACAAGCTGAATATCAATTGAAAGAGTGTGTGTGTGTGTGTGTGTGTGTCTGTTCTGTCCTTTAAACATTTTGTTATCGTTTTCATTTTTTTTATTGAGTAAACAAAAAGCGCGTTAAACCAATTCGCAAACAAAGCACTACAAAAAAAATTAAATTCTTTAAACAATTTGTTTGCCTTAAATATTTGACTTAAACAACATCGCTGTAAAAGCTATTTATATAAATATGCGCAGCAAAACCGCAAACAACAATTATTTTTAATTAAGTATAAACATGTATATGTGTGTATGTATGTGTGTGTTTGTATGTGTGGGGGCGGGTAATAGACAATAATATAATATTTACTTATGCAAGTGTGTGTGTGTGGTGTGTTTGTGTGTGTTGTGTGGTATCTGGGCGGGCACAGCTAAAGACGCCATTACTGATCTTTGGTTTCCTGCTCGAATTGACAACAAATCGTAAAACTTTAAAATTAACCAAAAATTAATTAAATACAAAATAATATACATTTATATATATATATATAGAAATATACACATGATAAACTTTCAACTTAGGCCAAGTTGAATGTGGAGAGGAAAACAAAGCGTTAACAAAATTCAAAGCAAGAACCGCGATTCCCTCGAGCGTCGCCAGTGACCACATAGCCAAAGCCACTGCTAATTGCTGGTTCCGCTGGCATCCTGATCACAGTAGCTGAGCAGACGCTGGCACAGAGTCGTCTTGAACTTGACCGTAAAACTATCGAAAATGGCATCCGTATCCTGGAGCAGACTCGACGACGTCGCTTGGTTGCTATCCGATGCCGCGATCAGCGACTTGAACTTCTGATTGAGATTCTGCTCGAGCGCCGAGTTGTTGTTGTTAAAGTAGAATACGTAGGCCAGCTCCAGCAGATAGTAGTCCAGATCGGCCATGAAGTAGCGCTCGCACTCGAGCATATCGAACTTCTGTTCCAGAAAGTGTACACACATATGATAGATAAGGTGCTTGAGATCGGATCGATGCAGGGGCACATAGCCCGTGTCCTTGCTGAAGTACTCAAAGAGCTTGAGAGTGCGCTGCGAGCTGTCGCAGCTCTGCAGGCAGAGCTGAAAGGCCTCCACGAATCGAAAGTTGAGCATACAGATCCTAATGCGATATTCGTTGCGCAGCGGACGTGAAAATTCGGCTATTTTGTCCGGGTTGTATAGCCCGTGGAAGGCATACAGGCAGTAGTGTATATAATGGCGCAACGCCTGCAAGATATTAGCATCGCCGGCGTCTGAGCTGGGCGTACAGGTGCTGGCATCGTCTCGATCACCGAGCAGTGGAGCTGCATTGTCAGCCACTCCCGGCGCCTCCTGGTTTGGCAAGGGCACATAGCTTTGCTCCTCCGGCGAGTAGTCCAGCTCCAGCGAGCTGTTGCCATCGACCATCTGCTGGGCATTGTACGAGTAGCTGGCATCATTGTGGCTCAGATTCTCCAGGCTGCTCAGCAGGTCATCCGAGTCTTGGCCAGTGGCCGCCTGTTCTGTGCTGGACTTGTAGTTGAGCGTTTCGGGCGAGTAGTGATGCTCGAAGCTGATATTCGCTTGCTGCAAAAAGTGCGGCTGATATGGCGGAATCACCTTCAAGTAGCGCACCGGCTCCTGGTCCAAACGGATGCGAGGCCGAGGCAAATTAATCTCCACGGGCACATCAATGCATTGGGTCTCGAAACGCATTAGCCGCTTGGTGGTGGGCAGGCACACGACCCGCTGTCGCATGCGATCCAAGCTGGCGCCCAGGTCGCGCCCGCACTGACCATTCGAGTTACCACCAAAGGCCTTCACAATGTGATCGGTGGTCATGACTAGGGTGAAATCAGCGCCGCAATCCACATACATTGGCCTCTCGATGCTGTCGATGGGCGATGGCTTAAGGACGGCTCGCCGATCTTTGTCCTCGGTGCCGAGCTGATGCTCCAGATTCTTCCCCCACGTGTAAAGCGTGCACGAAGACGATATCAATGCAAAGTGAAACAAGCCGCTGGAGATCTTTCAGCAGCAAGAGAAGAAACACCAATTAATATTAACAATCATCAGAAGAACGCTCATAGATCTACCTGCAATATTTGTCCAGCTACCTCGCTGGTATCAACTAGATGTGGCTTCAAGTGCTCCGTGGGATCTATCTCAGGAAAGACTGGTTGCGCATTTACGTTGCCAGATGCTGCCGGCATTGGCTCTGCATTGTTGTTGATCACTGAGATATTTTCCGTAGCATCAGATGGCAAAGCCTCATCCTGGGCGGACTCTTTGGTTTCTCCACTGGACTTGGGTATGGCGCCTGCCACAACAGCTGCATACGATGTGCTCGGCTCCACCAAGATGCTGCTGTTGTTAGCCGCTGGCAGCAGCGTCTCCTCCAGCCGCTTACTCAGCAGCTCACGCTGTTGATTCTCCTCCAGCTTCTGCTTGGCATTGGCGCGACGCCTTATTTGATTGGCCAGCCGCAGTGCCTGGGGTGAACTGCCCCAGGTATACATGCGTTCCTGTTCATCTACAGCTAGCTAAACAAACAAATATGTTTGAATGAGGGCTTCACTTCACTCAGTTGTTTGCTTGCTCACATTTGTAAAAAATTTCGTATGTATCAGTCTTAAGCCGCAGTCGTTGCCCAGTTCCAAGCGCAATGGCACACTCGTC